GTATTTTTATACATGCATTTGTATATATAAAATATATACAAATATATGTTTAGCCCCCCAATAAACCAAAGATCAGCCTAAACTTTACAGAAAAATAAACTTAGGAGATCACTGATAATTCATTCCAATTATATTAAATTCATGATGAGATACACCGAAAGAAGTACTATAAAATTATATTTTCTTGTAGAAAAAACAGAATTTACACTGCAAACTTGTATCAGCCTACATTTTACTATTAACTTATTAGGCACTGAACATACAAATACAACATAACTACTAACTCGAAGCCTCTAGCTTAAGTTAAGGTTTGTTCTTATGCATGTATATAAATATACTATCTGTCCAATTCAGATGTGATCCTATAACATTATAGCCTCATAGACCTACATGTGCAAATAAAGATAAATCCAAATGTTCACAGCTAATAATCTCACTCTTACTAACACTAAGCTACTCAATATATTTTTATCTGAATGATTTTAATTTACAGTGCCCCAGAATGTTCTCACTACAGCAACCAAAGTCACATAAACACCACCAGTTATTTTAATTTTCAAGAAAGTTACCTGACTGTTTCTTGAGAACTTTTGCTAAATCTTCAATGATTTTGATGCAATCGAGTCCCTAAGACATTAAGAAAAAAAGTTGAAAGTATTTTAGGCAAACCTTTTACTACTTGCCATTAAGCTTAAGGCAGTATAATTGAGAGTTCTGTATCTTAACATATAAGTGCTAGCATCTTAACATATAAAAAGTTTATAATATGCTTAAAAGTTTATAATTTATGCTTATAAAAAGTTTATATTAGGTATGAAAATAAATTTATGTCCTTTTCCGCTGTCTACCATTGTAGTTGTTTATGCTACAAAGCACACTATTTATCTGCATAGCTAACGATAGAAGTAACAGTAGTGCAGAATTCAGAAGGAAACTGACTATTGAGAGTAGTTCTTAAACTCATGCCTAGATCAACAAAACCCCTAAATTGATCTGCCTTTGTGGCACCTATGTATGTTTTCTTCTAATATGAAAAGCTTTTATAAAATAATAAATTTGTTACACTATATAACCATAAAATTTGGCATTTATTAAAAAAAGAATATTTTCAAACCACCTCAGCAGTTTCCAGCCCATCCATTGTCATACAGATATCAAGGTCACTTTGTTTGAAGCCAAAGCCATTTTTTGAGGAGCCAAACAAATTCAGCTTAGTTCCTGTAAGAGATGTGATGGGTTATAGCCATGTATTGACACAGAATTTCAAACTGTATATAGCTTCGAGCCACAGCATGTCTTTTAATACAGGCATGAAAACATTGCTATCTTTCTATAGTACATCAAAACGTATTTTCTTATCAACTTTGCTGTTAAGGAAAGAATCTCTACTTTTATTGGTTCAAACAAGCAGCTTGACAGATCCAGAAACAAGTTCCGTTTTCTAATAATTAAATAATCAGTATGCAGGTCCAAGCTGAAATCTGAAATCAAATATGTAAGACTGCTCTCTACAGAGATTTTAAGAATATGGGACTTCATCTGTCCACATACCAGCCTCCAGCCAAAAAAATCTTTTGCTAATTTTAAAAGACTATGAACTGAAGTCCAAGTGTTACAGGTAAGAACACCAGAAACAAATAAATAAAAATTAAAATAGCTAAGTTCTGTGGATAGGTCAGATGTTGTTTCTGTATTTTAAAATATTCCAATGTTTCAGTAGGAAGGACTACAAAAAGCTTGCTGTTAAGCTGTTGTTAAGAGCAGATACAACAACAAGAAGTCTGGCTAATGAATAAGGCTAAAATAACAATTATAAAACTGTTCCTCTACTGCTTTGATTGTTTTCTCCTTAACTTGCCATTGTTCCTTCCTGCTAACATGTTGCATATATGACTAAATCAAAAAAAGACTTAAACCGAAGCCTTAAAAGACTTAAACCAGAAATTAATGTAATAAAATACAGCAATGCTGAAAAACAATATAGGTTAAATGTTCAAAACTGAAGTGTTTATTATGCTGATATGTTTTCTTGGAAAATATGAACACACCAAAGTGTAAATACAAAAGGTAGAACTGCCTAATTACCTGGAAAATCCTGTCTAATGAAGTTTTCCAAGTTTTGTCTTATATGTTCCCGAGCCTGATCCTCTACAATATTTGGAGCAAAATCATCTTAAAAAAAAAAAAAGACAACAATTCAGGCAAACTGATCATAGGAAGAGTCAACAGCAAACATTCAAATGAAAAAAATTAAGGGTTTACAGCAAGGGCAGGGAGAGAAAAAGCAACAGAAGATTCACATGTGAAGGAGAGAAAGCAAGGATGAAGTAGAAGAGAAATACCTGTTCAAAGAAAAATATTAATTAGACAAATAATGCATTTTGTCTGGTCAGAAATGGCGAGAGAGAAAGGAGGAAAGTTGAGTCACTCTGAAAAGAACAAAAGCGGAGAAGTGTTACAAAACAGCATTTTGACTCAATTTTTTCTAGAACACTGAAGCCTTTGCTCACTAAAAACCACAAGTTAAGGAACACCAATGAATTTCAAATTAGGTAGAAATGTAAAAGCATCACTCAAAAGCCCACCCAAAATTAAACTCTTAGAAATTATATTAAGATGCCTAAATGAGCAATCACACAGCCAGTGTGTGGAAGACAAACCTAACCTTTTTGTATTTCTCTAGATACAAACTACTCAGTAGTCCCTATTAAAGTCCTTAGAAATCTGAGAATTGTATTTAAGACAGTTGGATGCAACGTATCAAATAAGGTGGCCCCCTTTATAACACAACTAGCCTGTGGTTATTTCATTATTTTTTGCATTTTTTTTTACTGCACAACAATATTCAAATGAAAAAACTTACAGTAACATTGGACACAAACTTGATCTAGAATATCTGAAAATTTGGGTGTCAGTGCCGGCAGCGGGTCAAGCTCAATTTTCTTGAAGTCCTCCGGACAATCCCTTTTTAAATGACCTTCCCGTTTGCACAAACTACATACTACTGTAGGAGACTGCATGAACAGAAAACAAGATTGGTTTTAAAAACTAGAATGCTTTAATTAATTTGAGAAACACTTTCACATAACTGGTTATAGAACATAAGCAATATGTTTATGTTCTGATACAGCTTGCTTACCTTGCCCTTCGTAAAGGCTGGTTTACTGAATTCATAAAAGAGTTCAGATTCTAAACACACTTCTATTGCTGTGTTCTCTCCCGAAAGGCTTCCCTTCTCAGTAAGATCCTCTTCACTCAAATTGATCCTCAGAGCTCCCTCCACATTTTCTTCAAAATGTTTTTCCTCGTATTTATTGGGGATGCAAAAATCTTCTTCCTCCTCTGACAGTGCATCGTCATCTCCAGATCCAGTGTATGTGTTTTCTAGTTGATCTCCAGCTCTTATGATAACACTACACGATTTCTTGTTTAGAAGACTTGCTTCTTCCTCCTCATCATCTGAGTTAATAATTTGGGATATTTGACTCTGTGCTGAACGTATGAATTTTTTTGGGGATTCATCTAGTTCATCAGTACCTTCAGTGCTCTCCTCATCAATGTCGATCCTGTCATCCATTATACCACTGCACTCTAAGCCAAACTCATCACTCTCTGTAAGTGCAGCGTTTTGAAAACCTTCTAAGTCTGAAGTACTACATGTCTCTGTATCGCGCTCATTCACTGTAACGGGGAGATCTCCACTATCACTGTCTTCATCTATTCCCTGCTCAGTAGTCAAGATATTATTCCATCGGCTTTTCAGTTGTTCATGTTCTTCCTCTTCCTCCTCTTCTTCCTCTTCATTTCCACTTTCTGTCTCTTCACAACTTGGTTTAAAATCCTCATTATCTCCAGAAAGAACTTCCTCAATTATGCAGTCTGAGTCTTCATGGGCAATTCCCAAATGACTTATATCGTCAGCCAGTTCTTCTTCTGTGAAGCTTTCTGAGCCATCACACAGTTTTGAAGGATCACTTCTATGTGTCTGGGGTGTACCTGTAGTCTCCGTTATGCAATCTTTCACTACGGCTGTGTTCGTTCTACCATCCAAGTCTTGTAGCTCAGAGTTTTCACGCTTTATAGCATCTTGTACATGGTCTGGCATTTGGGATTTCTCCTCACTGGCATTTGGAGAAGATTTTTTGCTCAATTTTGCACTTTTTTTTTTTGGCAAGGCAAAATACTTATAAGTTGCTCTCAGGCAGTGAAGAATATACTCATACACCAGCTGGCTGTTCAAAGTTCTTGCCACATTCCTTTTGACTGAATATGGGTCTAGTGGAAAGAAGAAGTGAGCCAGCAGTGCAGGAGTTAACTTTTTTTTACAAAAGAATACACTTACATCCTCACAAAATTTGAATACGCCACTGTTACTCAAAGTAACATTACACAATGTGTAGGGACATAAGATCTATGAATTGTGCTGAAGACAATTTTTAAGTCTACTTAGTTACTTTTGACAATATTGAAAAAATATCCAAGAGAAACATTACTTAAATTGATTTTTTTCAAAACATATTCTATTATATTGTTGGGAATCACAGTCCAATATTGAAAAATTCCAAGTTATTGCACACAATGTCAATAGCCAAGACAGTACCCTAGAAAATTAAAGTAACAGTTCTTTCAAGTTTGTTTATATATATACCTTCCACAGCAATGCGCTTTTTAGGCCAGTCCTTTAATTCACGAGACACTGTTTCTTTGAGCCGTATACTAATAACCAAATCAGCCATATTGAACTCCAAGGCATAGAAACGAAGCAGTTCTACCCAGAGCTGACCAGCAGGTGCTGAACACTGCTGTCCTGAACCAAATACTAAGGGAACCTGTCAATTACAGAAGAAAAGCTTAAATAATGTTTAATGCACACGTGCTTAGTTGTTATACTTCCTTGTATTTTATCTGTAAGATACTATTACAAAATTTATAGTTGCTTCTGTACTCCTACAATTGCAATAAAAACTGCAATTAAAAAATTAGAAGAGATAGTATAAACTCAGATTATAAAAATCAAAATGAAAGATTGCAGCAATGGCAAAGAATAGCATGAATGACTAATAACAATTGCTTACGTGTTTATGCCATAATTTATAAATCCCCAAGAAAATATCACACCTAATCTAATTGGACAGAATGGAGTATATAGCCTATTTTTTAGCAAAGCCTAAACTGTATTGTAAACTGTCGTAACATGCATATAGTGATACTGTTTTTGCAAGGTTATTATGAAATAAATAATTTGTAAGAACAGTTCAAAGCCAAGAGGAAATATTTTTCAAATGCTTAACCTAATTCTGAGATAAAATTTATTCAACTGTCTATAGATTCTCCCCAGCAGATTAAAATCCAGGGTCTTATCAAAGAGCTTGAAACAACACCTGTTTTCCTTCTAGCTTCTTAGCATCAGGAGGTAAGCATAGGAAGCATGGTATCAAGCAGTCATGCAATCTCTTCATTCAGCTCATGGTTTTGCAACATAAACACAAAACAATAGAAGATGATTCTTTTTCTGAGAACAGCCATGACTGGTAAACTACTACTGAAGTAAATTAAATGGTTCAGACCTTGCCCCTTCTAGGGGAAGTTTGTTGTGGCAAATCAGAATCATTGGTGGGGTTATGCTCCCAAACCACAGCATCATTCTCAACTTCTTTCAGATGAAAATTATTTATTTTATTTAATGAGAATCCTCCAATCTAAAGGAAAAAAAAAAAGAAACATACAGCTAAACATCATGTGAACTTTAAATCTTTCCCTCTCATGGTAGTAAGCTAAATTAAAACAGAACAAAGTTTAAAAATAGCTGTTCCATGCCTATAATATGCCCCAATCTGCTTCTCTCTTCTCCCTACACTTCTCTACAAAAAGTTCTCTAGAGTTTAGTGCTTTTTGGAAGCATATCTGTATGTCATAGAACCTTGTCTTTGCATATTACACAAGCATAAATATGTATTTTTGAATTATATGGCCATATACTATATGACCTTTTCTCTCAGAGCAGAGAGGCTTTGGGAATGAGTGAGTCATGTACTGAAGGAATTGCTAACTGCAAGGCCCAGGTAATTGGTTATGGGAACTGGAACATACACACTAAATATAACAGGTTGACTATAAGAAGAAAAATAGGTGCCGTGACTATAACACCTGAATGATGTCCTGGAGAATTGGATTCTGAATTTGTGTCTGTAATACAACTCCTGATATTAAGACACATTTCAACTTCTAACCCCAAGAAATACATGCTCTAAACCCCTAGCCTGATCCCTCAGGCAGATATCACACCAGTGTGCTCTCCAACTGTGGTCAACATTTTGAAGAATTAGATGTCAAAATCCAAGATGTTGTTCTGGGATGTAGCTATGTGAATTCAAGAGTTTTCAAGAGTCTCGAAGCAAGGCTGAAGAAATGAGGAAAAAGCTTGTTATGAAGTGTATTATTCAATGCTCAGCTATCCTTACAAAAGGGGTAACAGAACACTTAACTCAATGACTAGGACTGTGAATTGCATTCTTACAGCTAAGTACACAAAGGTTAGATGTAGTTTGGCTGAACTCCTGCATGGTTCTTTCCTGCAAAATGGCTGGCTCTCATTCATACTATTCATTGTACCAATACACATACCCATGCTCCCAAATAGACAGGTAGGAAAGGCTCTTTCCTCTGTTGTAGAAAGAAAATAACCATTAAAGCGAACACATAAGGTGACAAGCCTCCTTCTTCAGGACGATCAACACAGCACAGCTGTAAAAATAAATTGAGCAGTCATTATAGATTCAAGTAATACCATGAAAAATATCTTTTAATGACTGCTCAGAAGTCTTTCTCTTTAAATACTGACAGAAACTCAGACTTCTTTGACCTCTGGTGAAATGGGCTTTGTTCTCAAGGCCTGCATATTTACCAGAGTTGTGTTATTACCATAATATTCCCAGTGCAAGAGCCATAGGATGCAGACTGGCAAAACAGACATCATACAGCACATTTGCAAAACTGATGACTCATTTTGTGTAGATATAGTACAAATCAAAAGTTTTTCAATGTTTTTTCTTAAACCATGTTGTAATTGCAGGCACACAAAGTTTTAAAATAAGTTATTATAATTCACAAGAAATTTTTTTATCTACATATGAAAACAAGCAGCTTTTTCTTTCAATTTTTTTCATGATGGATTATGTTTATGGGAAACTGGTAATCTGTTTCATATACATTCCTCTGACTTGTTCAGTAACAGAGCAGCATACTTACAGTCTGCATGCCACTCGCTGAAGCTTAAAATTCTACTTCTGAAATTTAGTGGAACATTTCAACACACAAATTATATAATTTAGAAAAATTACAATTAATAAAAACTTTAAATATCCTTTTTCCAACTCTTTTTTTCTAAAGACAGTTTCAACAACTGTTTTCTAAACCATAACGACGGTCTTACCAGCGTAATATCAATGTTCATTCAATATGCATTCACAGATAGGAGAATACAAATGACTCTTACCTTTGCCCAGTACCTGAAGGCAATCACTAAAGGTACTACAGTAGGTTCCAGTTTTCCAAGGGTAGCCAAATGGTTTGTCGTCAGACAAGCACTCTCATTCCCTGCACTCACTTTACAAATAAGGCCACTAAAACACAAAAAGAAACAAAGTAAAAGATCTTGGAGGTTTTGTAAGAATAGCCATAGGTCAGATGACATCTCACAAAACAGAGTAGCAGAAGGCTGCAAGAAAAGACTTAACAGCCTCTCAAAGACAGTATATCTACATTAAAAGAAGCATGGAAAACCAATTTGATCTATGGTAAGGTTGAAAATATATGCATTATAATTTTATATAAAAGTGTGTTCAAATACAATTCAAATTTAAGTATGTTTCTAATGATACTAATTCACTGAAGTAAAACAAACAAAAAAAAAAGATGACAGTACTAATTTCCTTCATGAATCAAAAACATCTTCCCATACCAGACCCATCAGAAAAGAATTTATATGCACAGCACAAGAAACATTTCCAAACAGTGAAAGATCAGGTAGCAGCAAATAACCGCTAATATTTCTGTATCAGTAGCTGTTTATACAATGTTTCATGAATCTTAAATTATATCCATTAAATGGGCAAAATAAAATGTCTTTCACTTGTTCTCAAAATATTAGTGAAGCTAAGCAAACTGATCTTTCCCTTACAGAGATCCATAATTTAATCTGGTATCTACATTACCTATAACGAAGAAAAGTTTCTGCTTTAGCAGTTATCCCAAATGACAGGGTAAGGGTACATGCTGGAAGCCATAATGGTTGAAGGGATTGGGAAATACACAGCTGAGGACAGAACAACCCTTACCCTCTTATTCTAGGCTAGGAATGACTTGCCCATGAGTGTTAGTTTGTTTCAAGATCCATGGAACTGTAATAATTTAGTACAGAAACGTCATTTTTCAGATGTTGGTACATTTAATTTACATTGCTAAATACTATGAGAACACACAAAGTGACAACTGAGACCTTTGCTTTTCTCTGCACACCACCACTGGTATTCTAGCATGGAAATCTGCATCAACTTCCGCAAAAGATTCTAGGGGAGAGAAAGAAAAAGAAGAAGCCACGTTAAGCACAGTCTTGACAAAAAAATATGTTGAACTGGTTGCCACTAGAGGACCACAGCTAGAACCAAAACCTCTTAATAAAATGACTAATTTTGAGACAAATAAACTTAGATTAATCCTGTCACCCTTTTAAAGCAAGTTTTTAATATGTGATGGGAAGAGTATGGTCTATATGATAAGCACTGTTAAGACAATACTGAAGAGAAAAAGGAACTTTTCAAATTATATACACAGTAGGTATAATTAAGTGTGTATATTTTGGTTTAGTGCTGGCTTCAGTAATGGAGGCATACAGACAGACTAATGACATCTGTAAAACAACACTAGTGTGAAAGATGAAAAAACACAGTGTTATCTCAGTACTAAACAGAATTAAAATATCCAAGTTTATTTTCCCTGATAATCTAGAAATGCTCTAAGTAAGTATAGAACAGGCTTACTGATATAGTCTTCTTGCTTTGCTTAATTTTTTTTCCCCTCTTATTCTTTATACAGGTTTCCAAATACAATTCAGCTATATTTTTATCTTAACCATAAAAAAGTACAGATGCCACTGCAGTCCTTTCTCTGAGTGGAGTTTAATGATCCAAACTGGGTCAGGTAGGAAGGAAACTATGAAACAATTTTAGATACCCAGCTCAAAAATTCTGAAATTGAGGTTTTCTTGATGTTACCTAGCCATTTGAACACCTGACTTCCTTGAAAAACATCTTGCTTTTGCCACTGAGGTTCCTCAAACACCTTATCTTCTATGACACCCAGAAAAAGGGAATGCACAGGATGTTAATGCAAATACTGGTTGCTTTCAAAACACATTAGAGATCCTAACTCCTTGTGGGATCTGGGTCTTCATTCCTCCAGTCTGGCTGTACAATAACTGCATTTTCAAAGACTATAATGGTCATTTGACCAGACAAGAAGATGCACATACAATGGAGGGTGGGGTGGCAATGAGAAAAATCCAGGTCAGTAAACATATGCGTGTTTAATATAAATGATTGGAACCACAGGGTCAGATTTCCCAACGGTGGGCATAAAGCAAGGCAAGAAAGTAGTAAAGATACTTTTTGCAATCCGCATTTAAAAGGACAGAATTTATTTTCCATAATTTCATTTTTTTGTTGCCTGCATATGCTTGAATTGGTCTGAGTAAGTGCATTTTTTTTAAGATCTTAAACTTTACTTGCCTGTATTAGTGTACAGAGTTTCATTCATTACCTGAAAAAAAATGTGGCTGTATGGAGTCATTTGTACATGGCCTCACTGCACTAACAGGCATGTGCACATAATTATAGGAAAAAAGACCACAATCTGAAATTATGTTACAACTTTCTGATCACACGTTAGAAGACCTTAGGCTACTTTCTGTGCTATACATGGCTGATAAAGCAGTCTGGAGAAAGAAATACAGCACAGTCATCCTGAAGTTTAATGACAACTTACAATGTAGAAGAAAACCTCACACTAGAAATTCCTCATATCAACACAAATAATGGGACTTCAATAGTCACAAAACTGAATACCAAACCAAAGTTAGTTCTGACAATGTGTTATTTCCTGCAGTATTTTTCAGTCTCACATCTTTCTAAACAGATGTGTAGCATGTAGTTTACCTGTTCAACAGAGGTGGAATTCAACAATACTAAGCAGTAATAGTTTAAAGGGAATTGAGAAGGCAGCAATTTTCTCTTACCACTGTTCTGGAGACTTTCTTGCACAAGTAAGAGAACGTCTGGTTGAGTCATCTGTCAATAAAAGTGATAAACTTGTTTTCACAGCTGTCAAAAAGGTGATTTGCCACAATAAAAAAAAAAATTAATACACTGCCCCATGGCCACTTCTGTTTTTCTTCAAAAGAGAAACAAAATAACAGCAGCTGAGAAAAAAAATGCTTTTAGCCCTTGGTTATCATTAAATTGCACCAAAAGGAACACAAACTCCACTTATTTTCTATTTAAAAAAACTTCTGCAGTAATTGTAAATAAAGCTATTTTTACCTCTATCAAAGACTCGGCTGTGGAAAAAAATCCACCAACAGAAATACTATTTCTGTGTGCTTAAACATAATTTTCTTCTGACATACTGGATCTATGTCACATCAAAGATTGGAATCATAGCTCTTTAAAATTATATGCACTTTATGAACGTGGATCATTCTTTTCCCCTGCAACATTTCCTCCTTTGTTTCCTTGAGGAAATGCTAGATTTTAACTATGAAAATACCAAATCAACTGCAGCAGAAATAAGTTTAAGTATGGAATCAAAAGCTTTTCACAGTCCTTAATTTCTTGTCAGTGTTCAAGCACAAAGATGTATAGAAACACCTAGCATGTGAAACGAGACTTTAAATTACTCTACATATAAATGATATAAGATGGTTTCATGGCTCAAAAATAACCTACAAATCAAAAACTTTGACCTGCATATATCAGTACAAACACAAGATCATGGAAGTGCTATTTAATCCAGCTGTAAGGGAAAACAAATTATGATCTGTCTCATAGGACTGCTAGGAGTACAGATGCTTAAGTGTTTTCACTTTTTCAGAGGGAAGATTTGACAGAACACAAAGCTGTATTATAGCGCTTGACCATTACTGGTGTATAAAGCAAGGAATGTTATTTTAAGACCATTCTAATGTGGTAGCTCTGTTTTACCCAATGCATTTATCCTTTTAATCCCTTTATCACTGAGTGTAGTGATAGGACAAGGAGTAATGGGTATAAACTGAAAGAGGGTAGATTTAGACTAGACATTAGGAAGAAGTTTTTCACTGTGAGGGTTGTGAGACACTGGAACAGGTTGCGCAGGGAAGTTGTGGATGCCCCATCCCTGCAGATGTTCAAGGCCAGACTGGATGAGGCTTTGAGCAACCTGGTCTAGTGGAGGGTGTCCCTGCCCCTGGCAGGGGGATTGGAACTTGATGATCTTTAAGGTCCTTTCCAACCCAAACCATTCTATGATTCTATCATTCTTGGAATCTATGATTTTTATAAAAAGTGCTACCACGACACTCTAAGTTATATTTAAACTATAATTTACATAAAGGTGCAAACATTCAAAACCACTTAGATATACTTAATAAAATGGTCTTACTTACACTGGCAGGAAACTGGATATCTATATTTATGTCTGAAGTTTTGAAACCAAATCTGCTACAGGAGGAACCATACAATCTTAATGAGCAGTCTGCAACAAAAAGAATTATACTGCATTTACTCTATACCCATTCTAAGTGTAGCTACTTTACAACGCTGTCAGTGGATGTTAAACCTACACCTAGTTTTGATAACCACAAGAAACAAAGAAGCGTCTTCCAACAGCACAGAACTGTGTTGGTAAATTCTGCTTTCCATGCTGTTGCTAGTAAAGGCTTATTATGAATGCCCCCATGTCCTGTTCATCTTCACTACTTCAGGTCTGTTTGGGTTACAAGCATCACTGTAATTTAATTCTGATACAGGGTTATATTGCCACATCATGTCATTTAACAGAATAGTAACTAAATATACTGTTTTAGAATTTAGCTAGACAAGGTTTTAAACTAAGCTCTCACTTTATGAGCTGTTGGGTTTGGTTGTGTGCTGGTTTGGTTTTTTATAAATTGGCATTTTTGGAATTTAAAACAAATTGCAAATAATACCTGGCAATTTTTCACGCAGTAAGTTTTCCATCACTGCTTTAATGTTGAGTCTTCCTTCTAGATCTTCATTATTTAAGCCAAACTCCTGCACTACATTTTCAATAGCAACACCAATAGCTTGTATCTGGGAAGGTGTTGGAGGAGGCAGAGCGGTCAGCAGTTGTTCTTCTTGCTTTTCCTTTAAAGATAATAAGACTGACACTTTAATGATTTTCTTGAGTTGCTTAATGTGCTAGAATGAATGCCTGCAACTCATCCCAAGTAACACCACTATAGGTTTTCCAGATAATGAGACAACTGGAAGCAAGAACATCAAGAGAGAAACTGTGACAGGTATAAAGAATTAGATATTCCAGGAGGCTTCAGTAATGTGCAGAGGTATATACATGTATTTGGAACATTAACAAAAGTCATCAACTCTTTCATCACCTATGAAGTGGGAAAGGAGATAGTGGTCAAAGAGGAAGAAACAGAAAACCTGCAGAAGACAAACCACTTCAAGCTGAGGAAGCAAAATGAACAGAAGACATTTAATTAAAAAAAATAGAAAGAAAAATTGAGGGCATGCTGGAAGTTATTTTGATGTTTATGTTCAAAACAAACCTATCTCCTTTACATACAAACAAGTCAGTAATATTCCAACAAATTCTTAATTTCATCTGCAGTATTTCTGAATTGAAATCTTCACCCTGACATATAGGTTAAAATTTCTAATTCTGCCATACCAACTATATTTGCTTATTGCTACACCCCACTGCCCTGGACTTGATCAAAAGTCTTAATTGTTGAAATATGCCAATCAAATATACATTAAGAATACACATAACTAGTCTACAAGAAGAAATATAGAACAGTGAAACAGAAAAGTCAGCTGGTACAGCTTTTCTATTATACTTCAATCACTAGTAAGAAAATATTACCGAGTTGTACTTTAAATAAGGACTTCTTTTAACAATAAGAGGCATGAAAAAGTAAATTAAAAAAAAAAATTAAATTCCAAAGCTGAGGGCAGAAGCAAAGTCCAGGTCCCAAGTTTATTGTTTGAACCAGTATCACTAAGTAACACTCCAGAAGATTCAAACACAGTAAAAAATAAATGCAGAATTATTTTAGAAGCTGTGCAATTTCATTGTCATTAGAAGGGCAAGGACAGTTTCATAAATCTGCATGTTATACTTCTTGTCCTTAACTCACCTTTAGGTTTTTCTTGTGTCTTTTCTCTTTAATATGTTTATGAGCAAAAGCCACTGACTCAATCAAAACATCACACAATTTGCAGGTATATTTTGCTGACGGGTAGCTTCGAGGTTGCTAAAATAAAGACAGTAAGAAACCCTAAAATATAGAAAGATATGACCTTCATTTCATTCAACACCCTTGCTAAGTTGAACAACTAACTCCGAAGTCCAGAAATACTCACTTCAGCTTTGCTAACTCCATCTTTACAGTCAAAAAGTTTGTATACCAAATATAACGCCAGGAGAATGGTGGCACTGGGTTAATCAAGCCAAATACCTTGTCTTTTACAGCAGAAAATACCCCAATGCCTATGGAAGAATATATTAACAGAACACACACACAATAAAGCTTTTCTGGTCTGCTGCCCCACCATCTAGTGATCTGATGTTAATTCATGAACCTGAGCAGCCATCTTTTGCGCTGCCAAACCAAGATTTATTATAGTAAAAAACCAAAGGATAACCTACCTTCTCTTGACAATTCATTAACAGCACCCATTTTGTATGTTACATTAATTCTGTAACTAGACTTCCCAGCTACAGTCAGAGAAATTGATCAAAATGTACCATCCATATTGTATTTACAGACAAAAAAATAGGAGAGAACTAAACAATAAAGACAGTGGCACCTTCTTCAGTCTATAAATGCAGTCTCGCTTCAATCTTTCTTCAGCTTGCTGCAACCCTAGAAGTTCTTTTGCCGACAGCACAGATTCATCTATGACTGGACCATCCACTTCATCTTGATCATACTCATCTTTTCTAGTTCTTCTCGATCTTCCTGGTTTCCTAAGCTTCTTCATTTCTTATAAAAAGTTATGAAAACAAATACGTCAGAGTACCACACAGCATTTTGTTTTTTTCTTTGATTACTGTTCTACTTAAGTGCAAGTCAAAGAAGTTACAAATCATCTACCCTGCATGGTTTCATAATCTGTTCTGTGCAAGTCTGCTAATAACAGAAGTGTATGTTTATGTCATAACCTATGGTAGCTTTGTTCCGAACTACTAAAACCCACTAATTTGTCCCACTGAAGTCATGGACCTTATTTAGATAGCTTTCTTAAAACTGGCAAAAAAGAAAAAAACCTAAATGCAGTAGATTTTACTGCCCACGCGAGACATACCTGTATGCCATTATAATGAAAAGGTAGAATATATCCAAAGATTTCAGGATGTCTGGGCAGACTTAGGTAGATGAACAAGCTAGAAAGTGAACTGACCCCCAGAACACTACGAACATCACAGAATTAGTGAGTGTAGGCCAATCTGAAAGATTTATAAAAGCTAACAGCACTACAATATAGGACTGCCATGGCTTAGCTGATATACAATTTATTATCACCAATAATAACTGCCTGTGAGTGTCACTTGCCTTTCATTTAAACCAGCGTATGGATCAGTATTGCCTTCACATTATGAAGTAGACAAGTGGAAAAAAAAATAACCCTTATTGGCTACATAAGTCAATAAGCAATGAATTTGCTAAGCATTTGCACACATTGCTTGATAAAGCTATACAACTGGCAGAATAAACATGCTTAGACAGCTTGTTATATTTACAGCAAAAGTTCTGGAAAAAATTAATGTAAATACCACTTCTACTTTTAAGCAAACTTTGTCATCATAGCAGGAATTGCTACTGGTCCAAAGAATACCTGTAAAAATAATCTAGGAACTAATATATACACAGGCCAGATTTTCACACATAACTTTAGATCACATCTTACCTTTCACTTGAAATGCTATACAGGATGTCCAGATGCATGGAATTTCTAAAGTTCCCTGCTTCTGAGAAAGTTTATGCACCCTCCTTAGACTCCAAAAGCCTTACCACAGTATGAGGCTTTAATTTGTAATAATTAAAAAAAAAAAAGATAAAACACAATTGGTCTACTGAATACATTTACGAAGTTTCTTTCCTGTGGCCACAATTTTTGTCTCTAATAATTGGCAAAAGGGAAACAATCTGGTGGTGTATATTCAACCAGTTGTTTCACTCAGTTCACTAAGCAGTATGCATGTGCTAGTGTTTCAAACAAGAACAGGACAAGCACGGTAATATAATTTATTTTAGCAGCAGCACAAATTTATGCTGCAATAAAAAGAACTGAGGCTTAATAGGTTGCGAGGGCAGTACTCCAAAGGAAGCTTCAAGAAGCAGAAACAGAAGTCTGAGACCTTGAACTTTACACATCCCTTCCATTTTCCATGCTGACTCTTGTACTTAAACTCCTAAGAACCTGCCACAGTTGTTGGACTACATTTTTCCTGGTCAGTGTAGACAGAATTTGGAGAAAAATGTGTATTAAATGAACGTCTTTGCAGGAAGACATGTGACAATTTACCAATTACTTCTGTAACCACTAAGTAACTTTAAAAAAAATCACATAATAAATAAATACTTCTAATATTTGGTAGTTACAGTAGTGACAATCTAATTATAGGTTAATGACTAAATAAAGTATTAAAGGCAAGTTAAAGTTAAAGCTCCTGATAAAAAATCAGTGCCTCAGAGATCTGGTAAACTTCCTTATAAGGAAGCTACAGCAAAAAGTCATAAAGGTAAAGGAAAGAGGCAACTGCATAAGAGATCTAAGTAAAAGGGAATGCTAAAAGAAACCTTTATAGTAATTGTTTGCTCCTTGACATAGGATTAGAGGTTTTGAAGTGACCTCAAGAGGTGAGCTATGTCATGCCTGTGCTTCACAGCAGGATGAAGTGAATCTGAGCAGTGTTCACCTAGCCTGTTTCTTAAAGGCCTTCAGGTACATACTCCATGAGGTGCTCAGACAACCTCCCCCATACTTCAGTAGCCTTTTTGCCTTTATTCCTCATCTGAACCTTTCTTGCTCCAGTTAGGCCCATTGCTTTGTGTCCCATCTATTGGAAAGACACAAGCCAGATTACTGCATCAGCTTTTTGATAACCTTCTAGACAGCTGAAGACTGCTCTCATGCCTTCCTACCCTTTCCTTTTGCAGAGAGACTGGGGATTGTTTACAGATTGTGTAGATTCTATGTGCCCTGGCATTCTTCTTGCTTTTCTCTGAGCTGTTTCCATTTTATTCATTCAAGTGGAGTGCCAAAGCTTGACAGAGCACTGTAACTGAGTTTACCAAAGACTAACAGAAAAATGAGCACTTAGGCTGTGGGTCTGTTTTCATGCCTCACAAGACAGTGACACTGACTACTTGTACTACTAGTTCTGATTCACTACTATTTCAGATTATTCTCTGAAAAAACATACCACTTTATAATACCTTTTCTCCTTTATTTGTACAGTTGATATTCCTACTTCAACAGTGGCATTTGCACATATTTCTGTTGTATTTCATCTTATATATAGGTCATTTCTCCAATTGTGCAAACTTATATTGACAAAATCTTTAAGTATTTCTGAGTATAGTTATCCAAATAGCTCTGCATGTCCCTTGTATTAATTTAATCTAGAGAATTTTCCTCTAGTTTACTCACAGGACTGTCATGTAAGAGTGTCTAAAGTACTACAGTACTAGTACTAGCAGTATCTACCAACTGCTTCTCCACATCCACAGGTGACTTAGCACCATTTTAAACAAATAAATTAGAAGGACTTGGCATTCTTTTTTCTTGACACATCCATGATTACTGCTACTCATCTCTTTGTTACCTTTCAAATACTTATAGTAGGTTACAATATTTGTTCCAGAACAGATTCCCAAGATTAAAGGTGCATACCGTTTTTTTAATCCCACCTTTAAGAGACACTTGCCCTTTCCTATACACCAAAAGTTCACTTCTCCTGAATAAGTTCTCAGGTATGATTGCCTGTGGTTCCAAAAATCTACTTCAGTGAGTCCCTGAAGTTTCACAGAATAAAGTTCATCAGACCCAGCAAATTCGAAAACAAACTTGTGAATGCATACTACTCTGCTCTCTCCTCATCTGAGTTTGATCTTAAGTGCGCAACTTACTTCTAACAATAAGAGACACTGGGCACCTGCTCATAGCTTATCTTTTCTAGTCAGAGCTGTTACAAAGTGAAAGGACATTAAAGCACTTCCTGGTAGCAACCAGCAATAGCGTTCCTTCTCAGCACGGGGGCAGATCAATACTGTCTTTGACCCCCAGTCTTAATTAAAACAACACAGGTTTCTTGCTAACAGGCAGTTGTTCTGTGTTAGCAGCACTTGATCTGTACCTTAGTCTTTCTTATTTTAGCTAGTTATATTCTCTTTAAAGCTTCCTCTTTCTGCTTTGATCTACTTAGACTTCCTTCTGGGGCTTACATTCAATGAAGGTCTTATGATATTCATCACTTTATCCTCCCTTAGCCTGTTCTTTCTTGCAGTTCAATACTACAGGACTTATACTCTCATTATTACTACCAATGGCCCATAGAGAAGCTCAATATGAAGAAAGAATTAGTTTTGTGTTATTGCTGTATCACTGTTGCTAGTATTAAGTTCTCACAATACCTATGAAGCATTGTTTCAATCTTCATTAAGATATGTTGTTACAGACTTTATTGGTAGCTCCAAAATATTACCCTGTATCAATTTAACTGAAACATCCCTTATCATCTTGACAGAGTCAACCAACTTGTACCTGGAAAACTGCAAAGAGGGATGTTGCAATCTGCTTGCACGTACCACATATAAACTAACTTACAAGGACAACACAATTTACAAAGTTCAGAATCATTTGCTGTAACAATTTGTTTAAAGTGCTGTAGTACAGTACAGTCAGTAGTTTGCAATATATGGCAGAAGAAAACTTTTTTTTTCTTTCAACAGTGAATCTTGAAATTTTACTCTTCAGTAACACACATAGAAAGCTACTTGACTGGATAGCTATGTAAAAACAAACAAACTTGTCAATTACCAGAGCTTCCTTTCTGCATGTCTGGCACATTTTCACTCTTAAAGTCTTCCCGAAGTTGTCTTAAAATCCTGTTTCCAGCACCTTCAGCCTCAGGAAAAGAGTCCCTTCTTGTCCTGCTGTGCCAGGCAACAGATCTGTACCCTCTCCAGCTCTCAGAAGTACCACGGTGGTCATCAGATATCCACTTCTTAATTTGGTCTCTTTGGGTATCACTTAACTTTGACCCTTGACTGTAAGTTGTGTTTTTAAGTGAATGTGGGCTACTCAAAGCACTACGTGGCCCTCGCCTGGGACTGCTTCCATAATGACCTGATGTTCCCTTTTTCTTTTGCAGGCTGGTGCCTATTTTATTGCTATGGTCATTTCCATATTCATCCATGTCTCGGCAGTCTTTCTTTAAGGGACTTCCTTTTAATTCTTCTTGATGTAAAGTTTCCTGTTCCTTATTTTGTTTAGCAAAGCGAGGTTTTGCAGCATCTCCCATGGTTATTGCTGTTCAATGTAGTGACTCCCACCTAGACATTAAAAAGTTAAAAGTTGTATTTTAAAATTAATCAAGCAGTAAACATTGGTTACTATTTGTCACGGTCAACAATCAAAGCCCTGGCTCTGTAATACCATAGAGCCAAGCAAGTCTTGGTGGAAAGCAAAATTTGCCCCAACCAAACAAAAGGCAGTTCAGAACTCAGCTGGGTTTCTCTGTCCCCTCCCAACCTCTTGTGCACCCCCAGCTTACCCACTGGTGGGGTGGTGTGAGAAGCAGAAGAGGCCTTGGCTCTAGGTAAGCACTGATCAGCAGTCACAAAAACATCCCTGTGTTATCAACACTGCTTCCAGCACAAATCCAGAACAGCGCCCCATACGAAGTACTATGAAGAAAATACACCGTATCCCAGACAAAACCAGCACACCAGCATTCTGAGGTCTCACATTACTGCCTATTAAGCACTCATAACTCATATTATTTTAGTATTCTCTAGAACATCTGAGCTAGCAATTTGCTCTCCCCCTCCACCGCTTGGTCATGTCCATGTTCTTCTTGTAAAAGATTTCCAGGGAGCTATAACACCACTGTTAGCATAAACCCATGTGGATTGTGAGAGGGGGAGTTACCTGGAAGACTGACTAAACATATGCAAGCAACAGCAGTCACATTCACACTGAATACTGTATGATTTAAATACAGCCACATACAACCACACCAAAAAGGATTTCTCTTTCAAAACACATGTATGTGCTTAAGGATGCAGAGAAGGCTGCAGCGCATTTACAAGCAGCACCTAAACAGCAGGAAATGTCCTTCTGTTGCCTTTAATATGGAAGCAGGATACGCGACTTTTTTTTTTTTTTTAAAGTTCTTTAGGCACCCTTAGGCATCTCAGTGGCTGCTTTCTACAGGCTTAAAGCTTTTAGCGTCCATCCTCCTCTTAAGCAGAAGAGTTTTTTTGCTCTTACATGACTGACAAAACAAGTACGATTCCTGTCCTAAAGACCTTATTCATAGCCAGTGGGATACAATGGTGGAGATGCAGCTATTCCCGCTGTGAGATGAAAAAGTTTCAGATGCACAAAATGAACTTGCTTTCTGTTTTAGGAAAGTAAACTGCCATCAAATCTGAATTTCAGAGTGATCTAAAACTAGCCTGTTTCAGACTCATCCCCAGTAACAACGCCCACACGCAGCCTCCAGGCTGGATGATGACACACTCCCTGCACTGGAAGGGAGCACAGAGTCAAAGTCTACATTCGCCTCTGGCTCTCAACCAGGACACGCGGTGCTGGCCTGGTGTGGGCTGCCCCGGAGAGGAGCACCAAGGCAGCTGTTGGCGCCCTGCGGGGCTGGGAGCAGCGGGCAGTGCCGGCCAAGTTACCAACGGCACCCAGACGGCAGTGTTACGATACCGGCCTCAGCCACTGCCACAAAGGAAACACGCTCCGTGGGCTGCGGCTCCCTCGCGGCAGCTGCCGGCTGCCTCCTTTCAGTTCTCCCACGGGCTGGCGAAGGCCCGCGGCCCCCTCCCGCC